TGTGAACGGGAGTTCCTCTTTTGCTGTTATAAGCCGGGCTTCGGATGCTTTCACTTTTGAATTCGCGATCTTGTCACGTTTTACAAGAAAAGATAGGCTATCTAGGCAGCTGTCTCTGTCTCGATATTGTGGCACGTGTACAGCAGTGGACGGCGCTTAATTTGAATACAAGAACAACGTTTAAAATTGAGTAGAAAAGTGTGAGGTTTCTAAAAAATAATGAATAGAGCATAATATATAGGCTACAACAAGGTTTAATCTGGCCGCAGAGGAGCACAACTGGGTTGCCTGATATAAAGAGACGTAATCCCCGAAACAGAGCTTCACACTTGCGCAATACGGAAATATCTGCTAAATGTGCTACTTATCTTTGTGAACCTGGCAACCATGTGCACACGCGCTCTCTCTCCACTGAGGATAAACGAGCTTGCTTTCTGAAAACACCGGTTAGCTTGCAGTTTAGCGATCTCCACTTCCAATATTCTGTTCTCAGAAACATAAACGAGCTTGCTTTCTGAAAACACCGGTTAGCTTGCAGTTTAGTGATCTCCACTTCAATATTCTGTTCAAAGTGTAATTCATCAAGTGTTCATTTATGAGAGAAAGGGAGAGAGAGAGAGAGAAAGAGAGAGAGAGAGGCTGTGTATGTATGAATTACCACAGTTTTGCCGCGTTTCTCTATTAACAGTGATGATCTTTTCCGTCTATATGCGAATGCGCGTAAAGTACAAGCCTAGTTTACATTATTTATAATAGTTTAACATTCAAATACATTGCGAATATGGAAACATTTGGATTTGTGCTGAATGAGACGTGAGCAATAACCTCCAAATACATCTAGCCAAAACCGTCCTCGTATGCACGCATGCACTGTCACGATCTAATGCGCTGTAAATGCTGGATTTTTAAAAACAAATAGGCCTACTGGAACCCAAAAATTTAAAAACTGACATTTTCCGGAACAGGATCCAGCAGGATCAAATTAAATACTGGTCATAATACTTACATAAAAATGTTTCAAGTGAGCAACAGTGTGTTTTGCTGCAGCAGCGCCGATGGAAGCGGTTCACTGACTGCGCAGCACAGCCACACGCGCCACAGTTACGTTTGGGATAATTTTATTTTAAATGCCATAATGTCAGTTGAAAACATTGCAATTGTGTTTTAAAATACAACGAGCACCACGAAACTGGAGAGGCGCGTTCAGTGGTCTCCGTGCCGGGATAAGAAACAAAGTAAAATGATCTCAAACGTATGGCGTACTCTCTTCATTTTATCAAATGATCATAATCACATCTATTAATTTTACAATCCTGCTACTAGCATTTTATTCAGACTAAAACCCCTTTAATTCGGGTAAAAAAAAAAAAGCATTTTTTTTTGTTTTTTTTGAGTGGCTTTTGCACATCCTGTAATGCCGGTAACTGCGTGCCACTGCAATAAACACATTTTGCAGCATTAAGGTTAACGATTAATAGATTAATTAATCGTTCATTTAAACGACGATCGATCATGGAAATGATCGAAAATTGACATCCCTAGTTTGTTCTATCGCTCCAGTTATCTATCCTTCATTCGGTTGTTTATTCATTCTATCTGTCTACTGATCTGTCTATCTTTCACTTGTTAGCTTGTTTGTTTTCTATTGTTTGTTCTGATTATTATTCTGTCGGTCTGCTCTTCATTATGTCTTTTTTTCGCTGTTGTATTCTATTTATATTTAGATTGTTCACTTTCTTGTTCATTCTGCCTATCAGAAGTTTTATCTATCACTTTGTTACATTGTCTTTTTTAGTGAATTGAGTAAATTAAAGTGTGGATGACCCTTGTATCCTTTCATTAAGTTGGTGCTATATGTACATCTTCTGAACTTAGACCCAATGTCAGTCTGTCTGAAATGTCTCTCTCTGTCTTTCTCTGCAGTTGCTGTATTCTCCCATCGAGAACATCCAGCGTGTAGCTGCAGGTGTACTGTGTGAGCTGGCTCAGGATAAGGAGGCAGCTGAGGCCATCGAGGCAGAAGGAGCCACCGCTCCTCTCACAGAGCTCCTCCACTCTAGAAACGAGGGTGTTGGTGAGTGTGCGCGCCCCATTTTAATAAGCAGCACGTGTGCAAGCACGACCGCCAGAATGCAGAAAGACATCAGTTAAATATAATGGCAACACACTGTCTCACTACCTACTGATGTCTCAAAGTTTGAAGAAACAAGTTAAACTTCCACAGAATAAACACAGAGCAAGCATGAATACAGAACACTATGCAGATTTGTTTTCCCAGCTATGCACGGATTTCCACTGGAGGCAGTGGCTGGGGTGAGCAGGGCTGGCTTGAATGTTTTCTCGGTCACACTCACGTTGCTATCTCTCGCCCACAGCCACGTACGCTGCTGCAGTTCTGTTCCGTATGTCTGAGGATAAGCCCCAGGACTACAAGAAACGACTGTCTGTGGAGCTCACCAGCTCTCTGTTCAGAACTGAGCCCATGACCTGGAACGAGGTAAGGGGGCTCATCTCTGCTAAATCCTGCAATCAATGCTGGCACAGAGCCCTGTTGTAGATTAAATTCCCAGCGCATTACAGAATCGGTTATGGCAGATGTGGGTGTTATATTTGTGAATTTACTGGGCATGTGATTCTTTCTAACAAAGTATTATTGTTTTTATGAGTCTCAAGCACTTTGAAAGCATTAGTATAACTGATTCAGTCCTGATATACGCTGAATTTGAGGCTGAAGTGAGAGTTTCTCTTATGCAACTCTTGCTTACATGTCTTTGCAGACTGGAGATCTAGGGCTGGACATCGGTGCGCAGGGAGAGCCTCTGGGCTACAGACAGGACGGTAAGTTCATTCTCAGAAATGAGATCAGCTCTCAGCATCTGGGTGTGAATACTCACTAATCCACTGCTTCATCAGCCTTCACCCACCAAACCTAGAGACGAACACACCTGGCACGTTCCATGAAGACAGGGCACTAAATAAGTCTTGGAACTCTTAAAGGATTAGTGGACCAAAAAAACAAAAACGGAAATTGTTGTTCATGCACCCCTCACGTTGTTCCGAAACTGAGACTTTCTCAAGAAATGAGATGTAAGCCATAATGTTAGATCTGACAGCTTTAGTCAAAATTTACTTTTTCCCTTTTCTATGCAAAGAAAGTGAATAGTGACTTCATTAATTCATGTAATTCTGCTTAAGATTTTTCGTGGTTCATGGAAAAAAAGTCAGTCAGAGTTTGGAACAACATGAGTCTGATTGAATTTTCTTTTTTGGGATTTATCTCTTAAAAATATTCTCCCAGCCCTGATTTCAACAAATGTTCAGTAAAAGGTGCTTAACCCTCAGACTAAAGGTATAAATAATTGTGAAATAATAATTACTAAATTGAACTAAATTCACATTTGCATTTATGCAATAAATTTTGTATATATATTTATATATTTATTTATTTTTAATTATTTTTTTCTCAATAAGTGGTATTGCATATAAATTTTATCATGACTTGAAAATCACCATTCTAGGTTAATTTTAATTTAGTTAAGTAGGGATGGAACGA